GGCAGGAGAAAGCTTGGTGGCTCCATCAGAGGAAATGGGGTTTCTTAATACCAATATTTTGATTCGTAAAACTCAAAGACAAATGATTCTATGGCATGGTACAAGGGCAGCACTGATTTAGGTTTTGTGGAATGATAGAAATGCAAGAATTTTTGAAAAGAGGCTGAGAGATTGATCGACCTTATTATAGTAAAGAAAGCTCATTGGGCCTTGGTTAGTGAGGAATTCCAAGGAGTCAACATAAATGATCTTCTTGGAGGATGTTGAATAATTGCCAAACATCAAAACAAGCACCATCAAAGGCAGAAATCAGGGAATCATCCAGCTGTAGGCAGATTAAAACTCAATTTCAATGGCTGTGGTCTTGGTAATCCAGGATAGTCTGGTGTGGGGGGTTGTAGTAAGAGATCATAACAGCAACACTATGCTACCAACACTGGACCAAATAGACAAGGTAATACTGTGAGGGCAGAATTAATGGCTCTAGATCTGATGAGCAGGAATGGTAATGAAGGTTGTTGAAGTGCTAGGTGCTTGTCAAACCATAATTTTGTGGATGAAGAAACAAAGGGAGGTCCCATAGAGATTCGGACCTTTGGTTAGAAAGGCACGAAACCTAGGTAACAATTCGAACAGCTTGTTCAATTGGATTCCTAGGAGTGCAAATGTTTTTGCTGACTCCTTATCAAGAGCGGGAGCTGTAAGGTATCATATGGAATGGGGTATACCAGGGCCAGTAGTTAATTTTAATACATTCATACTATCTGTACTCTTTTGGCCTGTTGCCGTTTGAGGCAGTTAGGATAGCAAAATATCCCTAAAGTTTCCCCATCTCTACATGGCAAAATGTCAATTGATATCAAAATTACAAAATACAAACCATGGTGCATGACAATATGAACCAAACAGTCTGTATTTTAAAGAACAAAGTAAACCTGGTTAAAAATTAAAAAAAGAAATTGAAAACCCATATTTTCCCAGTTTTATTACCTTAAAACATGATCAACACTTCTGTTCACAATATTAAATTGAAGTATAAAAAAAAAGTTGAACATATACTTAAATCTTAACAGATAATAGTGGTTAAAAGGATTGCCAAGTCAATAGAGGACTATTTGGTAATAAATCTATAAGAGGTTCAAGAATTTTAAATATATGGGTGATAGATATATGGGAAAGACAAGTTCTATTGAATATAAGGTTTTAAATCCATGAAAAGACAAACTTTTTCAAATCTTATGTTTCAAAATAAAATCCTGTTTTATCTTCCTCCAGTCATGAATCTTTTCTAGTGGTAGCTTACACCTAGCAAAATAGCCTGGAATTTTTTACTGATAACCTGCAATTTATTTGTAATTGGCTGATTACAAATCTCAATTATTAAATAAACTAGTAATTTTATTCATGCATTCCTCCAAATTAAAAATAAATACAAAAGAACTTGTTTTCTTTTCTTTACAATCTTTGGAACTTTAGTCTTACAAGAAAAAAAAAGAAAGAAAATCTATTCTAATTAGTCCACATGCATAGTACATTTCAGTCTTTGAACTCTCTTCCTTTCCTCATCTTCTCATCTTGTGCCTCAATGACATTAACATCTACATACTATAACCTTGGTGCTTGGTAGACCTTTGAGCAGATGTATGTGGAGGCAGCTGCAGTGCTATGAACAGGGATCATTGCATCAACTTGCCTCTTGTCTTCTCCCCTTTCTTATCTTGAAGCCCATACCACTCTAGAGCCAATGGACTTACATTATCGAGGGCCTCTGCGGCTGCATCTATATCATCTTCAGCAAATACCATTAAGTGTTCCAAAACCTACGCAAAGAAATATGGGCCATGTAAACATAATTCAGAGCTTCATAGAGAGAATACAATAAAGGACCTTATTATCATTGTGAGTAAAAGATATAGTCATTTTCAGGTTAATAACATTAAGATAAAAGGATAGTATGTACAATGCTAAATATCTTACATCCCCACGGTGGCCTAATTACTCCAGCCAAAGCTCATATTTAGATCCTCAACTGAGAATCTAATTTCCCTCAACTGAGACCCTCATTTGTTGCTTCGTAGATTTCTGTTTCTTTGCTTCACTTAGTTATGTATGGCAGTTCATTTTCTAATGTTTCTGAGATAAAGAAAATGTGGTTTTAAGTCTCAGAGAATTGAAGATTCTTTTTTGATAGTTAAATTGAAGAGATTGAATAGCAGAAATATGTAGACAAAGATAATTTCAACATGTCAGTAAATACAATATGTAGACACAAAGGATGCAACAAAAATTTATAAAGAAAATCAGAAACACACTTGTCTTATGTGATACATCATCTCTTGAGAAACTCAGTGATGTCATGGCAGTCAGATGGTTTGAAGTTGTGCAGATGAGTGTGGAAGCTGCCTTTAAAATATTTGGAGATGCTACTGGTTGCTAGGTGCAATTCTAAATCAATATAGAAACCAATTGTTGAAAGAATTGATAAGAAATTGGCCTCTTGGAAAGCCAAGTATCTCTCTTACAGAGGAAAAATTACTCTGTTGAGAAGCGTGTTGTCTTCTCTCAGTGCATTTGCTATCTTTGTATCCAATCCTGATTGGAATGTCCAATATTGTAGAGAAGAAGATAAGTGACTTCCTATGGAAAGGTCGAGGGAAGATAAGAAAAAATATAATTTGGTTAGTTAGAATAACCGGACTTTCAGATTTTCAAGAACAAAAATAGTTCTTCAGACTTTCAGAAAACATTGGGAAAAACATCCTCTTGGCTTGTTGTAAACAAGTTGTTCAAAGATAGAAATTACAATTCTTTTTCTTTGTATATGATAATCTTTTTGTAAAGAAGGGTGTGGGTCTATAAGGCTGCATGGGCAGTGGTTGTATAATCCATGTACAGCAACTTGTGTGGGGGTATGGGCCATGAGGCATAGTATAGCCGTTTCTAAGATTCGAGCATATGGCAGGTAACTCCAAGTTAACAAACATCTATTATGTTAAGGAAAATGTTTCATGTCCCTAACATTTGAGTTTTATGTCTTTCTCAGCCTCAATCCTTGAGGCATAAGGTGTATGACTCATCTTGTAGACCATATATAGCAACCTAAAAATAAGCAATATGCCGTAAGGGACTAGAAGGGCTAAGGGAAAACCAAAAAGGAAATGGATCAATGTAATAAAAAATGACTTAAGTGCTCATGATTTATTAATGGACATGGTATTAAACAATGGAATAAGGAACAGAATTCATGTAACCTACCTCATATAGTTGGGATAAGGCCTAAATGATTATAAATCGGTAATGGTAATGACTTACTGGGTTAGTGTAGAAGGCTAAGAGCTCAAGGTCGGGCTGGTTTTACCAGGGAGCAACAGTGGTCATCAGGCCATATTGCATAGAGACTATGAAGCAGGCAGTGGTTTGGGATGAAGCATTGGCCTCAGGTTTTGGTTTAACAATATTGGTGCTCCTTAATTTATGTTGTTGCATCATGCCTAAAGGCCATAAACCAAAGCAAAGTAGAGGTCTTAGAGGTGTTACAACTGATGGTTGTGGTTGTTAACTTTAGATGTCCGTCAACAGTGAAATGTGCATGTTAGCTTTGCTTTAACCGGTCCCATTTTGTTGTTTTCCCCAAAAAACCAAAGTTGATTGGGGTTTAGTTTTGCTGGTAATATGAATAAATTCTATTCAGTCATTGGGACTGAAAGCCACAAACACAGAGGAAAAGAAGAAAAATAGAAAATTATGAAAGCCACAAAAATTTCAAATCAGGAATAGAATTTCAATGTCATCAATGATGATAATGCTCAATGGTGACTTGTATGAATCCTGAAACACCTGTGAAGAATATCTGATCATAAATGGATTTAATCCTTTTCCAAACAAGATTTTAAGGCTGACCACGTGTATTGAAAATCAACTGCTCATACACAGAGGATGTAAACAAAATTTGACTAGAAGTGAAAATTAATCATAAAATGATAAGTTCAATTGGAGGCTTTCTATGTAAAAATAGGTCATACGGCAACCAGGCTGAGTATGACACAGGAGTTGAGTCCAATACCCAGTGCAGAGGATCAAGAAGTTAGACACAAGATCAAATGGGACTAAACAAGCATCAAATTGACCTAAAAGTGCCTAGAAGGAAACCATGTCATGAAATGATGAAATGTATACAACTCCACCATGAAATTGAGCTGTTGGTCCTGCTCATGCCTTCTTGCATTCTTTAATCTAATTAATGGCTTGTTCTAAGACACAAACAGTCCTATCTTTAGCTTTCAAAATCTAAAAGAATTGTAGTTATGGTTTTCTGTTTTCTTTGCAAGTCTTAGTGTAGCCAACTCCATATGGTTGGAATAAGGCTGAGATGGTGATTTTCTTTGAAAGTTTTACTTGAAAAAAAGGTATTTAAAAAACTAAATCTGGTTTTCTATCAATTAGAAATGGGATATAATGATAAGACTATTCAGAATAAAGTGATTAAGTGAATCAGTCAATACACTGGGATAGCTAGTTTTGTACATGAATAGGGGAAGATAAAAGACTGTGGAACTTTGAGAAGTATTTCTGCAAAAAAGGGTTATGGTGAAAGAAATTAAATGGCAAGAACAAAGAAGAACAATGGTTGAATGTCCTTGGAGAATCTGGTCTCCATTTTGGAATTTAAAACTTAAAACCCAGAAGTTCAATCAATATTCAGGGGTAACTGCATTGTAATGGTTGTGGGTTGTAGTAATTATATATGAACATTATCTATCATAAGTTACAAGGTTGCGACCTAAATTAAGTGCCTGTTTACCCAGGGAAACCAACTTGTTATGAAGCTCTTCTAATGCAAGGATTCCCGATGTATCGATGTTCATCAAGTCTGTCACCACATACAACCCAAATCTGGTCACTCGGCAATATATTGAATACTGATTTTATTCTGTTTGCATTAAATCAAAATGGGTATCTGATGATGTATAGATTATAGACAGAACTAACTAGACAAGGATTAATACTTGAATCCTCGCTTTTGCATTTCTTTCTTCTTCTTCTTTTCCTTGCTCGTCCTTATTCACCCACATCATTATCCTGATACAAGCACAAGTAACAGAATGGTGTAAAACTGTAAATAAATTTTCTTCTCTCTCTCTCTCTCTCTCTCTCTCACACACACACACACACACACACACACACACACACACACACATACAGCAGATAAACGGACAGACAGAGAATGAATTTTACCTTTCTTTGATGGAATTGGCATTGGCAAAACAAAGAAAGGCAGAATGAATGTGGATTATCAAGATGCCTGAAGTCTTGACAGCCACCATGATCAACCCACAATGGATATGGTTACCTGCAGTGTCCCCCACCATGATCAACCCACAATCTTAAAAAATGCTCATCTATAGGATACGGATCGGATTTTGACTCTCTGATTGATATTAGAAGGAATCTATGCCAACAAGAGGTTGGCTGGGTGTTGCTTCAATCCGAAAAATAAAGAAAAATAAACTAAAATTAACCCTCAAGTAGTCTTAAATCCCAGCTGCCTCAATGAATAAAACCCAGAAGAAAAAGAATGATAAATTGACAGTTGGCCACCAAATTGGACGATGACAAGGTAGCCTGCCTTTGTCAACTGGTTTATCCAAACACAGTAATTTTGCCTACCTTAAAAATAAAAGAACACAATCATCCATATATGCAACATCTACCAATCAGTGAACTATTGCAGGTGGATGTTTTGGGTGGAATCATTGACCCCACCCACAAACCTAATTTCTTCCAAAGATCAATATGAGGTTCATATTGTTTTATTTGTTAATGGGAGTTGAAGAAAATGAAACCGCAGCAAGATGACCGGTCTCGGGAAAGTTTTCTTTACTAGAGTGCAGGACCATGATTAAAAAACACCCACCGTGAGAGCTACAACTGCAGAAATCAACCCAGTTTTRGCAACTTCTYCGACATGTGGGCCATTGAGMTGTAATTGCTTAGCTGAACTTGGATTGATGCCTCCTTTTATGTGTTTTAGTAAAGTTTTCTTTACAAGAGTGCAGGACCATGATTAAAAAACACCCACCGTGAGAGCTACAAYTGCAGAAATCAACCCAGTTTTGGCAACTTCTCCGACATGTGGGCCATTGAGCTGTAATTGCTTAGCTGAACTTGGATTGATGCCTCCTTTTATGTGTTTTAGTAAAGTTTTCTTTACTAGAGTGCAGGACCATGATTAAAAAGCACCCACCGTGAGAGCTACAATTGCAGAAATCAACCCAGTTTTAGCAACTTCTTCGACATGTGGGCCATTGAGATGTAATTGCTTAGCTGAACTTGGATTGATGCCTCCTTTTATGTGTTTTAGTATCTTAATTCCATGCTTATCTGCTCTCGTCAGAAAGACTATAAGAGTGGATAATATAACAGAGAGGAGAGGAGCAATAGATGGTAACGAGAAGAGTTTCTTGTTACTTTTGCCCTGTGAACATAGAAGGATTTTCATATTAATTTTAATAAAAACATAACAGACATCAAGTGTAAATGATGAAGATACTTAGGAAGGATGCTGCTTACCAGGAATCGGGCCATTAGGATGAATATCAGTAATGAACACCCAAGCGCAGCGTTGAGGGGGTACCACTAGTATAAAAGAAGCAGATGAAATTTGACATTGGATGATGCATCTTAGATGTCATAAAAGAAAACAGTATTACTATCTCCTTACTGAACGATGGATAGATCGCCAAACAGCCTCTGCAACAGAGATGACATCAGTTTTGTCAGTGAAATGATTGATTCCTAGTAGTTCCTTCAACTGTTGCAGACCTATGACAATTGCAGCACCACCCATGAACCCAACAGAGGCAGTGTGTGAGATATTAATTTGTTTCCCGAGGTAAACATGGTGGGAAGACTATATATCAAGGTATAGCACTTGATCAAGAATACCACCTGAACAATCCAAACACTGCTTGAAAGACACCAGCAAAGAAAGTTGCAGTGAAAACAAGGCTTCTGTAAGCAATGGGATCAACCATGGGGATCTACTAGTTTCGGAATCATGGATGAAATTAGCAAGGAAACCACTGCCACAGGTCCAATGGCTATCTCTCTTAAACTACCCATAAGAGCATAAATAAGAGGTGGGAGAACACTTGTATCTGAAAAGAAGAGACCCAAATCACACAATCTGCAGATTTGCTGACAGCCTCTCATGCTTAAACTAAATTATCTCTGTTAAGATGCTTTTTTTTTGTAAATTAAACTGAAACAAAGAAATTAAAACATCATTAGATTAGAGCAAGAAATTGGGATCAAGCTTTGCTAAATTAGCATATCCAATACTCTGCAAGAAATTGGGAAGTCTTAGTATTGATGAAACAGCAACAGAAAATAGAACAGTAGTAGCAAAATAGCATATAGAATTCTGTTATCATTATGGTATTGAATCATCTCAGCAAAACTTGCTCTCCCTACTCCTCTAACTAAGCTGCTGAGAAGTACAATTTATTAAAGAGTTCAATCCAAGGATCATGATTTGAAACCATACCAAGTAGGAAATTCATCAAACTGGAAACAAATCTCACAAAACTGGAATTTCATCAAACTGGAAACTCTTCTAATTATTTTTTGTCCTTCTTCTTGGTTTAGTCATGTTATTCATCCATTTCTTGTGCTGTCTCCATGTATGTGAATTGTGAAATGGGATTTTATATGTGCTGATTTGTACTCTAAATGCTTGTTGCCATGGTTACCCTATACTGGCTTAATGTTATCTTTCTCTAAGAGTACATAGTTCTATGGCTTCATCAAGTTAGAATGTACAGTTCTTACAACTGTTGTTATACATGCTTGTGGAATTGGGAAGTTGACACAGAATAGTACAGGGGAATAAAGGATTTTGGTTGAGTTCTGTTGAGCAGAAGAAGAAGAAGAAAGGAAGGAAGAAGAAGAAGAAGAAGAAGAGAGAAGAGGCTGCAGACTTAAGGCCTCAAAAGAACTACTTCATGCGAGTGAAGCTTTTGTATTTATACTATACT